AGTCTCCTTCACTGGAGATACTCCAGAACCATCTGGATGAAATCTTGTGCTGTGTCCTCTGGGATGACCCTGCTTGGGGCAGCGAGGTCGGACCAGTTTTAGATAAAATTGTATCGCAAATGGTCCAGAGTCATCAGCTTGTTTGTGGGTTGTGGTTTCTTTTTTTTCGTTGGTTTAGTTTGGTTGTTTTTCTTTCCCTAAACAGAATGTGTTAATATTTTCACTTCAAGGTTTTGTCACTGATTGTTTAAAATCAGGAATGGAGTTGATGCCTATGATGAGGCCACATTCCTGTTTTTGTTTTTCTTGTTTGTACCTCATCCATAAAAGTGACCTTTGGATTTTGGTTTTCTTTTTTTGTGGCTTTTTTGTTCTTTCCAAGATATGGGTTGAAACCACATAGTATTTTGCAATATTGGTTTGCATCTGTTGAAATATAGCAGACTTCCACTAGCACATTTTATTACAATGTAGTAGCTTGCAAATGTACAGTTTCCAAATTTTCAAAGTTAAAATTACTTAATTTTTAAAATAATAAATAGGATTGACTGTAATTAAAGAGAAAAAAGAGTTTGGAAAATATCAAAGTGAAATGTGTCCAATCTAAAGACTGGCAACGTAAAAATTTCCGAAGCAGAAATGAGTCATAGAAAATTAACTTTCTTAAGAACTGCTATGGCCTGTTAGTGCAGCTATTGCTGTCAGCATTTTCAAGTTAAACACCATTTACAATGATTTTATTTCACATCAAATTCAACTATAAGCTTAAATGCAAATGCCCCAATAATAGTTTTTGTCCTGTTAAAGCTTTGTATTTTATTTCTTTCAGAGGCAATTATAATGTCTGGGGGAATGTAACGCAAAATATATTATTGATGAAACCTTGAAGTTGGAAAAACATATCTGTGCAGGCAAACTGGGTATTAGGTAGTGTACAGAGAGTCTGTATGAGAAAAAGTGGGAAAAGGGACATGTTTTGGAGGAAGAGCTTTGGGTGGGATGGGCAGGAGCTCGGGAGTTTTGGGAAAGTAAATGGTGGGGAGGGGGTTTGGGCAGGAGGATTTAGGTGGTGTGGCTGGGGCCTGGTGCAACTGAATTTCTTCCCCTTACACCCAGTTTAAGAACAGTGTGTAAATACACGTACACAACACATCCCAACTAGCCCTGAAGTCCTGATTATCCATCTGCTTCTTTGCTTTTAGAAACACTGAAATCCTATCCAGTGCCTTTCTCAAAGGAGAACAGCAGCATCTGAGTGTTGATTCCAGTGGAAAAATGAGTGATTAATTAATGAACTAAGAAACTGGAGTGTGTGTGTGTGTGGCTTCTCTCTCCTCGTTTGGCGTTGTCATCCTGATGTTTGCAAATGAGCAAAAAGAGTGAACAGTGAGAACTGAACTGTTCCCACCCTAATGGGAGGGAAGAGCTGACCTGGAAGCAAAGCAAAGGCAGCAGCACAGAACATCCCACAAGGAATGCACAGGCTCTACCAGAGCCATTTATAGTGATCTGATTACACCACAGTATTAATAAACCCCCAGCAGACTCTGCATCTATCACAGATGCTGTTAGCTCCGACAAAGTCAGTAAATATATTTGAGTTTTGTTTCAGGCAAATAGGTATTTGCAAACTGAATGTGTTTGAGAATGGGAAAGATCTGTGTTAGTAATACATGCCCAGCATAATAGAGACCAGCTAAGGCTGCCTTTTTTGTTACCTGGTACTTGTCTACTGGGGAAGAAGGAGCTTTCTGCATTCCTTCTGTGAGTCCCAGGAATTCAGATTCTAAAAAGGCAGCAGGCAAATATATCCATGTACCTATGCACATCTGGATGGCCCAGGAATTACAGCTCAGGTGGCTGATGAATTTGATTGTAGGCAGATTTAACTCTTGTTCCAGCTGGGTATCATCCTGCACAAATCTTATCAATCAGGGTGCAGCACACCCCTGTTCCTGTCATGTGGTCATCCTTTGTGTTGATATCAATGGTATCCTGGGTCCACGTGGCTGTTTGTGATATAATAAAATCATTGAGAGATTTGAAGAGGTTAAATACACTATCATTCATCTGTGCCAAAAAGGACTTAGTAATGAAGAGACACCTCCAGATCCAGCTTAGCCATGTTTTACTTAGCGTGTTTTACAGACCTTTCTCCAGTCTCATCTCTCTGCTGTTTTTGCTACAACACTGCTCAGTCTTTCAGGTTGCATTCATCTTCAATGAAATGTGAACAACTGGTGAGTTTTGTCATTTGTTTTTATCTGGTGGCTCTATGGAGTGACAAGGTCCTTAACTGTCCTGCTGTAACTGAACTGCTTGCCAAGCCCGTATCCCAAAGGTGAGGGAAGGGAGAAATCGTTACTGCGCAGAATTAAGGCAGCAGTGATGGAAATATCACTTTATTATTTTTGAATTACAGGGTAGTGCAACGTTGCTGTTGACAAGGACATCATAATCTTTTCTGCAAACAAGTTTTGTCAGGGATTTATAACTCTGAAGAAATTTGCCTAGGCCTGAAACTTGGCATCATCTCGTTTAATGAAGTACTAATTTGTTGTCATACACACTTGTAAGCCTTGCAAGTGCAGTGGGTGTTGAGCTCCATGATAAGCACAGCTACTGGTCCTTTAAAAAGGTGATATTACATTTACTTTGGGGTTTCCCACAAAAAGATTACAAGGACTTAGAGGAAAAGCACTCAGTATAGAAGATATTGAGAAGAAAATAAAAAGGAAAAACCCCCTTCAAAATGAGATGAGCCAACGGCCCCTGGAATTTTGGATTTATGACTGTACAAAGAGGCCACAATGCCTTTAGGAGAATTCCTGGGTGAATTTTGCCTTTTCAGTGCTGAGCACTAAGTGGCCTGAGAAGGGCTCTCTGTGGGCAGCCCATTAACACTTGCCAACACTTCCTGCTGGGCATGAGCCTGCTAATTGTCTCTGCTATTTATGAGCTGCGTTTAACAACTGCAGCACCAGTCACAAACAATTCACAGTAGTATGCTCATATTGCTTTTTCCTTGTTGGTTTCATAAAATGTTGGTGTAAACTCACTTTTCTGTTACGGAGGCATTGGGGGGTGACATTTAATGACGATCATATTCCATAGTTTTCAAAAGCTTTGCTGATAAGGGATTGAAGCAGGGAAAGTTGTCAAGAAAAGAAGTTACTGGTGGTTCCATAACAAGACGTTCCTATCAGGCAGGATGTAAATGTGTTATTTTTAAGGTCAAAGCACAGGCAGAGAGTTTTGAAACAGGCTCGTTAAGGCAAAAACAATCTGATAAAGCTGACTCTCCTGATTTCTTGTGTGTAGTTAATTGAAAGGATATTCAGCTTTGGTTTGATACCTCTCTATAAACATTCTCCCTACAAATCAGTGGAACTATAGAAATATACATCAGCTTTATTGGTCATCAGCTTGGCTCTGTCCAGTGTTCCAGAGTTTATGATCCCCTTTGCTGTCCCTGTAGAGTGGCTTTAAAGCTCGCTTGGTGAATATTCAGACTTCTGGCATTTTGCAGTTGCTCTTTTATCTTCATAATAAAACATGTATTTAACAACAATTAAATGTTGAAACAGCTTGCTGGCAGATGGGGTGAATTTTCTATCTCCTGAAGTTTTCAAAATTGTCTTTCAAAAATATGTTCATTTTATGGTCTGTGTTATAGAGAAGACTGAACTAGAGTATTGTAGTGTTTTTTTCTTGACTTCATTTTTTCCTGTATTTCTGTTGTCTTTTTTTTTCTCCACAGTTCTCTATTACTGTGGATATGTAGTGTTTTCTTTCTCCTTCCAGTTCCAAGCCAAAACTACATTTAATAAGTAATGTTTAAGTTATGCCTACTTCCTTAACCAGCTAAATACCAAATATTAAATAGAACAGGTGATACAGTTGCATGGCAACATTGATCTGTGCCGTAAGAACCAGGAGACCCTTTGTAAAAGTACTTTTGGGATGGTTAAATGCAGTGGCATCTGATCTCAGATGCCTCAAGGTGAGTTGTGCTGTGTCCTTAGACTGGAACAATGAGCTTTGAAATGTTAGTGGAAAAAGTGAAGTTAACAACTGCAGCTACTCTTGCATTCTTTGCATTCTTTAACTAAAGGACGTGTGTTGCTAACAAGATCCCATACTCCAAAGACTGGTCTCAAATATAAAACTGAATTGAATATTGATTTTTTTATTTTAGGGCATTTAGCTGCTTGCGTGTTTGTTGCTTTGTTTGGGTTTTTTTTTTCCCTGAAGTGAGGAAACTGGTTTTGGTGCTCTGAATGAAAATTGAATTGCTGAGATGCTAAGCTGTGGAATGGGGTTACTACTCATCTGCATAATAACCATTTCAAGAAATTTCATAGGAAATTTTTATTATGCATTTATATGTAGATGTAAATAACCTTTATTAATACACACCATTGAACAATAACACAATTTTTTCACGTCATAAATATGGGGAAAACTTAACTACCACAGATAGGCAATGGTCAACATTTATAAGCTCAGCAAGATTAATATTTGCCATGAAACTCCATCTGAAAAACTGCCTTAATGCTGGTTTATGGCTACTACTGTAGTAATCTGCAAAGGGTTTACCTATTTACCTAAACCAGTTTGTTAAATGACTTCAAGAATTCTACAGCCAAAATTACCTGTTCATGAAATGCAGTGGTGATTTGCTTTGCTTTAAAGGACGAAACATCAGTCTTTAATTTCTAATAAGTAATATGAGGTGGAGTTGGAAAGATGAAGTTGTTGGGCAGTTAATATTACCTAGCAGTGATCCCTGTCACTGATGGTTTGCAAATTAATCTTTCCATTAACAGAAGAGGAGACAGAGTAAAAGGGCAGATAAATAGCTTGAAAATGAGTTATCTCAGTTTTCCAAAGTTTATTAACACATGGTTTGATGTCCACTTGGTGCTTGGCAGGAAGCTCAGTGCAGCAAGCATCGTTTCTGGGGCTGGCATTATTAAATATCTTCCTGAACAACCTGGATGGAGAGGCAGAGTGCTCCCTTGGGAGATCTCCAGGTGATTCACAACAATGGGGATTGTGGTGCTGAATTCAGAGGCTCCTTCACAAACCTGAGGGCTGGGCTGGCAAACTCCACAGAGAGCAGCCACAGCGGCTTTGCAGCTGTTTGCGGTCTCTGCTGGAATTTAAAGACTAAATTTGCAATCGTTATTTAAATAAATAATGCAGGCTTTCACACTAATTTAAGAGGCTTTAGCTCAGCTCACTCTATACTCTGTTGCTCCCACTGGCTCTGGAAGAGTTTGGGCTGCAGAGGGAGAATTGATTTGCAAAGGGACTGGAATGGTGACTTGGAACGTGTGGGGTCTCTTGGCTGTTCCCAGGCTGTCTGACAGTTATAGGTGAGGGATATTTATATGGCTGTAGGGGGGAAAAAGGCACTGTAAATTGGTATTGTATCGAGGCAGATAGCCTTTCAGGGGACAATAGGCTGTTTCATTATATTGGAGCTTGCAAGCAGTTTGCTCTCTTCAGAGAGCTTCAAAAAGTTGAATTCCACTTTGCCATTGCAGTGGGCTCCTCTCTTATGTGCTAATGTTATTTGGAGGTGAGTCTTGGGGAGTGAAAATGCCTTAAAACATAAAAATGGAGTGGTAATGTAGTATTGTAGGTGTCAGTCTAGTGTTCATCACTATGAGAGGTTTCATATCTTTATCTTCATTTTATTATGATTGAGAAGTGAGTCTGTTTGAAAAGCCCTAAATTACAGATGCTTATGTGTTGCAATGGTTATTGTCAGAGTGTGGGGGAAAAGGCACCCTGTTGTCACAGTCTGTCAGAGATGATTTGTTGAAAATTGACTTTGAGTGTTTGTACTGGAGGTCAGAGTTCCCTGTAGAGGGCTTCTACCTTCATAGAAATATCTAGAAGTGCCACAGTTATGCCTTGCTATTAAAAGAATGATTTTGTTACAAATACTTACCTGGCAGTGCTTTTGATTCATTAGAATGGGAAAAATAAGTGGAGCAAAACAGCTGGGACAATTTCTAAGTAAATTCATCAGTCATTCCGGAACTATGCATTTAAAATACCTATAAATAATAGAATGCTCCATATAAATGGAAGTCTTTTATTGATATGTAAGTACAGTGTCACCCTGAAGTTTCTTTTTTAATTTATCATTTCCTTGTGTTTAGAATCTGATCAGGCAGTTCATATTATTTCCAGCTTTTCAACTTTATTTTAGCAGCATTATTTTGTATAGTGTGTGAAATGAAATTGTTCCACACAGTTGTTAAGCTTTAAAATTACTTTCAGGTAACAAATAATTGTTTTGGAAACTCTGAGCCTTCACTCAATTTTTTAATATTATCTCGAGGACTGACAAAATAATTGGATAATTTCAGTGGTTTGCCATTGGCACTTTTAAATTTCTTTTATTCATATTGTTACAATATATTTCCCATGATGATGTTCATGGGACTGCTGATCCTACAAAACACAGGACAATGGAAATGGGGAGAGTGAAATACTGAGAATCCAGTTTTTGGGCTTTATTGTCTGTTTCGTTCTCTCAGGTTTACAAAGAATAAATAAATTGTTTATGTGTGCATATAGAAACAAACATTTAGGTTTTAAATTTTGTTTTAATAGATAAAAAGATGGCCTATCATAAAGTGAATGCAGACCAGAGAGCACAGGGGCACTCTCCATACCTTGACAACGATGAGCTCCAAGCCACAGCGTTGGACCTGGAGTGGGACATGGAAAAAGAGCTGGAGGAGCCTGGCTTTGACCATTTCCGACTGGACAGCGCAGCCCAGCACCACGTGGGGAACTCGCAGAGCCCTGACCTTGACCTGGAGCCCATCCAGCCTTCCTCTTCCCCAAAGGGAAGATTCCAGAGGCTGCAGGAAGACCCTGACTACATCTCCCACTACACGAGACAGGCACCAAAGAGCAACCGCTGCAGCTTTCTTCGGATACTGAAAGTATTTTGCACTGCTTTGATTTTATTTATTTTTGGAATTGTGATAGGATATTATGCACGCCAGAAATGCCCTTCTCCCCCAACATCTCAAGAACCAAATAATCCTCCGATCTACCATGAAATTCTCAAGGAAATCAAAGCTGAAAATATTCAGCGGATTTACAGGTACGTACCTTGGCAGGTTTTTTATCTAAATGCTCTCAGGTGCCATTGTTAAGTCTTCACCTCATTTTTTTTTAATGTGGAATCTTATTTACAAACCCTGACTTTTTTTTAATGTTCGGTTTTATCATGACGCTTGGGAGATGTTCATAAGCATATATAAAATTCATTTTTTAATAATGCAAATTTGTGCTAAGCAAAATAGGTTTTGCTTTAATAATGTTCTATTGCTAAATTTATTATTATCTTTCATTTAAATGAATTGAAAAACACAGATAATTCAAATTGAATGGAAATACAGACAATAGAACAGCTGTACTAGATCCAGCTGACTGCCAAATAACACTATTTAAAAACAAGGTTGATATGATGTTTTGTAATATTTGGTGCTTTAAAAAATCCCCACCTAATTTTTGTCACAAAAGTGAACTCTGGTTTTTTTACTCTATGTGGTAAATTAAACCTTTATTCTCTATGGGTTTAGGATGGAAAAATTGACCTTTGCACTCTGAAAGATTGTGATTTATTTTTTTTCTTTATTACATGTTTTAAGAATGTAAGTTTTTGTAAAATACCTGTGTTTGACTGGGTTTGTTTTTATTCTTTTTTCAATGTGGAATCCTTTCGCTTCTTTTACAGTCTATATAACATGTTTGTGTCAGAGTACAGTCACTTTTCTGTAGCAGTGAGTGTGGAAGAAAATAGGCAGGAACCAACTTTTGAGGGGGCCAGCTTTTGAAAGTTATTTCTATATGGGGAGGGGAGATAAGCTTATTTTTGGCTTCTGGAATGTAAAGTTCCTTTTTCATGTTAAAGGTAATGAATTGCAGATTTTTTGATAAGTATCAGTTCAGAAGCAGCAGAACTCCCATACTTGAAGTTAGAAAATATTGTTGTCATGGTCATCCAAAGAGGTGTTACTGAGTAGATCAGAAATACATCAGAAGTAACCACATGGGTGTTATAATGACATTTGTCTTTTATTACATTGGCTAAGCCAAGTCTTAAACCCTGTAGTGGGTAATACCGTGTTTTGAGCCAACACTGTTACTAAATGCAAGAGAAAAAGTAAGTATGAACAGTTTCATGTCAGTTTTCATGTGCTGAACTGACTCTACTTCATACAAATCTAATTATTTTCATAATGGGAAAGGGTACAGGTAATGAAAAATGTTGATTTTTAATGTAAAAAGATAACTTCTTTGTCTTTCAGAGAGTAAATTGAACTGAATTCTGTCATTAGGCTTCGTCACAACCAAAGTATTGCAGTAAGCTAAGCCCTAAGACTGGGTATTACACAAATTACAGCAAATTGCTGACATGTCTGTCATACTCAGGATAATACTTCAGTACTTTGTGTTTGGGGACTGGGAATCACTTGCCATTCTACTATTTCAAAGGGTGGTTTAAAACCATCCCTTTTCAAACCCTTTATCACTTGTCAAATGATTTCAGCTTGCTGTTAAGACACTAGTGAAAATCTGGATTTTAGGTAAAATGAATTTTATAAATACTTTGAAACTTAAAAAACTTTGGTAGTTGCCTTCCTGTAACATAATTCTTAATATTTGTTTAGGTTTTTTTTCCTATTTAATAGCATGAATTCAGTAAAAGCAGTCAAATATTAATTCAGCTACCTATCAATTCTGTATGTATAATCAATGCTTTTAGTATACTGCATTACCCACGAGGTTTTTCCTAACCCAGCATTAAGGTCTAAGACAGCTTTTATCCCATGTTGTGTTCAGTTGCTTTCCCTCAACATCTGTTTGGCAGGAGTCAGAGTGACTGCAATGAAAGCTGGGTGTGTGTGTAGGCCTACAAGTATAGAACATGCAACATATGTTGCTTGGGTAAAAGGAAAAAAAAAAAAAAAGCCCAAACCTGACAAAATCAATATATGTTATTTGAAAACTTCCTTCAATAAAATACTTTGAGCTACTAGGAATAAGTGGCAGCTGCTTAGCTTGCAATTTCTAAATGTTACTGAGCATGACATTAATTTAATTTTCATTGTTTACTCCTTAGGTCAGGCTCAGATGGTATGGGAGTTTGCTAACAGTCCTGTAAGGGAATTAGGAGGTAAAAAAAAACCAACCTGTTTAAGAGACACAGAGGTGCCAATCATAGTGCTGGAGCAGGCATCACCTTAATGTGCTTGAAGGTCTGGGGTGGGAGCTTTCTGTTGGGGTGAAATCTGCTTCTGGTTGGATGAAGCTTTGAGGATTTAACTCTTTGCACTTCTGAAGTGCAAAGTGCTCCAGGGAACTTGTGTTGGTTTTGTTTCGAATTGGATTGGATTGTCTGTGAGTTGCATGAAGCCTGTCTACCAGTCCCTGATAGGAATTGAAGTGGTTAAGTCCCCATCCCTGGAGGGATTTAAAGGACGTGTAGATGTGACATTTACTCAACAGTGCTGGCTTAATGGTTGGACTCAATCTTAGAGGTGTTTTCCAACCTAAACAATTCTGTGATGTGTAGGATATCTGCACTTTGTCTTCATGGGTTGCTGAATTGGGATATTTACGTTCTCCACTGGAGGCTCCTGGTGGGCTCCACTTTTGTCAGTCCCATCCTGGCTGTCTGCATCATCCCAGCTCCATATTAAGGTTGTTTTTTCCCAGCAGACATACAAGAAATCATTAGGTAAGAAAACTCAGTGTGTTGGCTTTTATTCCTTTAACTTTGCACTTTGTTTCCCATGGAGTGGGAATGCTACAGAATTTCTCTGCAATTTGGCATAGTTGTAATTACTAGTTTTGGCCAAGTTGCATAATCAATGGAACAGCCTAAATCATCATTATCTCTGTGAGCCTTTTTGAACACCTCTCTCCACTCTCTATAGGGAGGTACCTGCATTGTTGGCAATAAAAGGTAGAAATCAGTTAATTCTCGATGTTTCAGAGGTTTCAAGATGAGTTGTAAGAGGTACCTGAAGGGGAAAAGTATTTGTCACAAGAAAAATGAAGAGTTTTTCCTTACCTAACATGCTGCATTTTAAACTGGGACAAAAAAGAAAAAAGGGACCAATATTGTTAATAGGATTCAGTCAGTAAATCAAACAATTCAGGAGATTAAATCTACATTTGTTCAGATATATATTTTTGAAGATAAACAATCAGCTCCACAGTACAGGCAGAATCAGATCTGGTAGAATCACTCGTGATTCTGCAGACATCGCTGGGCTGGTGGGAATCCAGTAATTATATCTGTTTGTGCCACGAGTATAACTTTTCACAGTGTTCTCCTGGAAGATATATAACAAAATTGAAGTTCAAGTTAGGTGTAACTTGGCTCCAGAAGGCCTTCAGGGTGAGTATGAAAAGGGCGTAAATCCCACATCCAAAAGAGGAGAAAGTTGAAATATGTAACACTTTGGGCACTGCTTACGTTTATATCCTTAACCAGCAGAACTTACTAGGGCTAAAGAGATGGATAGAGGTGGTAAAATGGACAGGCAGAAAGCAGATTATCTCCTGGGACAGGTGGGTTGAGTTCTTGGAGCCCTTTTGGAGAGCATGTCAGGAGGGCACAGCTGGAGAGGAGTGTCCTTGAGCTGCATTCCCCAAGGAATGTCTGCAGCTCCAAAATACCATCATCACACTGGGAAGGGCCCTGCTCTCCAAAGGCATGAATGCATTTAAATGTGGAAGTCTCTGCAGTTTATAATAAATGCTGAAGGTCGTTAAGAGGCAGACCTTCAAAAGTACAGAAACCCCACTGCCAGTTTGGGTAAGCAGTGTGCTGCTGAATTCTCAAAAGTAAATTTGTAATGAAGATGTGCATAATTTTCCATGAGATCTGACTTGTTAAAGCTACTTTTTAAAATGATACTCAGATTTCTGCTATCACTTAAGTGCTTTTGAAAATGCAGCTGTTTGTTTCTTTCTCACTCTGTATGATGTATATAAAGTATTTCAATTTGATTGCTCCAAAAACCAAATCAAAATGAAACAATCCTATTTTATTTGGAAAATGTGGGACTATCATAATTTTTAGGAGATTTTAATTTGGGGGCTGACTTCTGAAAATTAAATGGATAAACAGAGATTGATGCTGAATAGTAAGATTAAAAGAACCAGGCAGTCGTGTTGATGCCAGTGATAACTGACTGTGCATTATCAGATTAGCTTATTGCTCTCTTGTTTTTAAAATTCTTGTAGCCTTATTAAACTTTACTCAATAATTTCTTTCCAAAATTGTACATCTTGGTTGTTATCAGATCCACAGGTTTTTTTAGATAATCTTCCCATGATTAAAAGTGGGATGGGGGCACAGAGGGAAGAATCTTTGCTTTGCTCTCCAGCCAGTCTACAGAGAAGCTCCTGCATTTCAACTCTCCTTTTCATCCTGTGTATTCTCACTCAAATGCTCCCTCCACTATCATGTTTTCTCCCCTCGAGCAACAGGGAGGTTTAAATCCCTTCATAATACATCCAGTTGTAACTAACTGTCCTTTAGAGGCGTATCTGTTCCTTATTCCAGCTGGTAATATCACCTGCAGGATCTCCCAAATCCATCCCTGGCAAGAATTGATTTGTCACTGGTGCCTGCTGCCATCCATAACTTCAGCTTAATTCTTCAAAGGGCTTTGGGAGAGCAGGCAGCAGCTGCTCTCCTGTGTGTCATGGCCAAGGAATAAAAGTGCCAGTGCAGTGAGAGAAGGACTTCTACTTGTTTTTTTTGTCTTTTTTTTTTTTTTTTTTCAGAAGTGAAGTGAGAAGCTCCCATATCCAAGTGTTTCTTGTTCCCTGATCACTTGTAATCAGTAGTGTTAAAACCTTGAGGCTTCAAATCTTTTCCCCAGGTAAAGCCTGTGAAATATATACCTGAGCAGCAGAGAGAGCCTGGAACTTCTAGGAAAAATGGAGTTTTTGGAGATTTTGACAGAATGAATTTACAGGCTGGTGCTTGGTGAATTGCCTTTGTCCCAGGAATGAGGAATTCCTGCAGGAGCAGAACTTCCTCAGGAAGGGTGTGAGGAAAGGAGTGCTGTGGTCACT